TTTAATACAGCTTTTGATATAACTAACTTATTACAAATGTCGGAACTGTTTCGTGAGTTTAAATGACAAATGACAACCTAATAGTTCTAATTGCGGTACGGATAAGGTTTTAAGTTAGTAAGAAGTTACTATGCCAATATTAGATAGTTCAATCCAAGCATATGCTTGGATTGAACTATCTAATATTGGCATAGTATCTTCTTTTATTTCGCTTATAACGAATCTTGGAAAGCAGATAAGCTGAATTTAAAAAAAAAATACGATTCAAAACACTCCCATAGGAGCTTGACGCTCTTAGGTATCTTCTCATACTACTCCAGTTTATCCTTTCAAGGAATCTGAAATACTGTTGTGATCAATTTCTAATTTAAAGCTCTAAACCTCGTTTTATTAAAACGTCTTTCGATGTATGGTAAATCTGTACACCATTACTTTAACTATCAAACCATGCTAACTAAGTCATCAACATTCCAATCGGCTATAATCTTTTTATTAATTCAAGATGAGAAGAAAAAAAATTATTGATGGAATGCTGTGTTATTTCTTTTAAAATATATGGATTCGAAATCCTTTTTTTAAGATTTATTTATTTGACTTAATTACCCAATTTGTTCAATGTATAACTCGTATGAAAAAATCATATACAATGAATTATACATTTAACATAACGGTAATAACCCGTTATAAAACACAAAATCTAGCATTATGTTTTTTAAAAATATAACGGGTATTTTTTTTTACTATGTAAGAATCGTGATACCCGGTTCCGGGACCCGGTAATTCGGCTGTTTTACAGGTACCCGCAATCAGCCATTTTAATGCAGTACCCGATACCGGGTATCTTAAAAGACATTAAAAAAAAATTAACCTTAAGTGCTGTAACTATTTGTTTAAGTGGTACTTTAAATTCTGTCGAAATATTGTTAACAGGATTGCTTTTAGTTTAAACTCCAACCAATAAACTTCTTGATATAAGTCTGCGAGTGTTAAGGAGTCGATAAACCACTTTTGAATCAATGTAGATGTTAAAATTTTTAAATATATATTTTTTCAAAACAATCAGAGTATTTTGCAAAAAGAAAACTGATTTATACAGATATGAATGCCTTTTTTTTATTGTGTGAGAGAGTATATTTTCACTTGAGAATTTTTCAAAGTTGATAGAGTTAATTTAATTTTTAAGCTCTTGATTTTTTCTGCATTAATCACATCTAATTTACACTTTAGTTTGCGTAATTTGAGGTTGTGACCGCGAGTGTAAATGTAATTGTTTATTAAAAAGAAACTTGATATATTTAGGCAAACTTAATAAGCGCAAATTAACTAGCGTTTTTTTTGAAAACAACTCAGCGCTAGAGATTTTACAAGCTTTTATTCCAACTTATTAATATGGACCCGGTATTTTTTTTCCGGGTACCCGGAATTGGGGACTCGGCATAAACTGGCTTCTATGCAAGACCAGATAAAACTTGAGTAAATTTATTTTTATTTTTATTTGGTGCCCCAAGAAGTCCTTACGGTCTTATCACAGAGCACCGCGGATGAGCATTTGATTGGAAGTTTACGCCTCCTTCCTAACCAAAGTCGCAAAACTTGCCCAGAGATAGGGTTTGAACCACGGATCTTTTATTTCTGAGGCAAGTGCGCTACCACTGCGCCACAGCTGCTCAAATCGATAGACAACTAGTTGAGCATGATGACTTAAGCTACTAAACAAAAACGACGTACGAAGTTTCTATGTTTAAGCACAATTTCTATATTCAAAAAGGCTTGTTTGGTATTTTTTATTTTTTAATTCTTTGTACTTTTATAATTATTGTGACCACAATTCTTGTTAAAAATTGAGATATGATGACACTTTCCACATTTGTTACACACAAAATTACTACTAAAACTTTTGCTCATATGACCACTTTGATGACAAACAAAACACTTTGATAACTTTCCTAATAAAGCTACACCAGGACCATTAAAATGGGTAAGGGGAGGCAGGTGGGCACTTGCCCCCTTTTTGCCAGTATTTTTATAAAGGACCTTTTTTTTATTATTTGAAAATTTCTAGATATAGAGGAATTTTTTTTTAAATTGACGATTGTACGCCTTCATTTCAAAACCTGTGTTGTCAGCTCTGTACACAAGTTTAAATACAAGTGACTACATAGCATTTTGTTAAGGAGTGATGGTTACCTTGCCAATATAAATCGTTATTAAATTCTTCTCTGTGCCTCCATATGCATGTAAATTTTGTGTAGTAAATCTATTGTTTCGAACAATATTGCTTCTTTTTTGCTACCTTTGTTCATTCCCAGTCGGCATGCGTCGTACAAGGGACGTCCGTCAGACTTCCCCTGTACAACGCGTGCCCACTGGGTTAAGATTTTCACATCTTTATTTAGCTAAAAGTTCTTCATTTAAAAGTTCTAACATTTTTTCTGATATTACCTTTCTTTACCTTATTAATAACTTTCTTGATATAAAATTTTTTAACTCTTTAGGTATTCTTTCATTTAAAATAGTTATAAATTGACAATTATATCAGTTTAATATCCATTTTTATTAATTTAAGAATCTTGATACAAATTTTTTGGTGCAAAGCTTTCTCAGTTGTTTAAGATTGTCTATTGATGTAATATTGTTGTATCCTTAGTATTAATTACTTCTTTATAGTCTTTATTTGATAAAGTTAAACATGAAATAACTGATAGTGGAGCATAGAGCAAATAACTTTTTTAAATATAAAAATTTATCATTTAAGGAATCGCTTTGATTAATTGTTGCATTAAATTGGTCCCAAAATGATTATCATTTTAGAGATTTTCTATTAAATGGTTTTATTTCTAGTTTAGGTAGTTTACAATTGATGCTTTTTTAAACAAACAGATTGAGATTTAGATAACGGTTTTTGAAAAATTAATTTTTCGTTGATCTGTGCTGTTTGTTAGACTGAATGGCAAATTCTGGAATGTCGTCTGGTTCCTTTAAATAAATTATTTCTTCCTCGACTTTTTTTAGATCTAGTGGAGTGTTACTTAATGAGTTTTTGTAACCTTTAAGAGCAATTAAATTATTTTTTGCCGTAAGGATTTCTAGCTTCTTAAGCGCTTGCCTTAGAAGCTAGAAATGGTTCAAAACTACCTCTAGACAAGTTTTATAATATCGATAAGAAAAGAAGCGTATAATACATTTCAAATGCTTTTCCGCGGTTCTTTGTGATAAGATTGTAATGATTTTTTGGGGCACCCAAAATAAAAAAAAATAAAAAATTCCTCGTTAATTTTGTTTATGTATTTTTGTAGACCTATCCTCCGCAATATTTTCTTATTTAAGACTGCGATAATGAATGATTATGTATATTGAAGCAAAATGTATATCTTAACTATACATACAATATCAAAACAAACTTAACTTGATAAGAGTAACAACTTAAATTAATTCGACAACGAATAACTCAATTAAAGTCACAACTAATATTCTTATAATGTAAGAGAAAAAAAGTTAAAATTTTTAGCTCTCTACAAACTAGTTAAGAAACCTAACTTTTCTCTTTGATTCTCTTTTATTCAAATAAAATATCTTTGTTTGATGATTGATAAACCTTTTTTGCATCGCACAGTGAATCGTGTACTACAAGCTATGTGGAAAAAATATATTTTATTCTGTGATGTGATTGTTAAGAATGTAATTATTATAAGTGTTTTATTGATTAGTTTTTGATTTGATCATTTTTTGATTATTATTATGCTTCCGGGAATTTTAGAATTGAAAAAGTTGCTTGCCCTCTAAAGTAAAATCCATCGCAACAACAAAATGAAGTTTTGTTTTTAAAAATCTTGTTAAATGGTATAATCTTTTTTAAAATCTTGTTAAAAAGCACTGTAAATTTGTAAATAAAAATTTTTTAAAAATAAAATTCCATTTTAACGTCACTTTAATTGCCTAAAATGACTCATTGAAACGCTCCTTAATACTAATATTTAATCATCACAAGTTGCTACCAATGCAGGACTTTTTTTTTTTTTTCAAGTTGATTAAGGTGCCCCAAGAAGTCCTTACGGTTTTATCACAGAGCACCGCGGAAGAGCATTTAATAGGAAGTTCACGCCTCCTTCCCAACCAATGTCGCAAAGCTTGCCCAGAAGTGGGGTTTGAACTACGGATCTTATGTTTCTGAGGCAATTGCGCTACCACTGCGCCACGGCTGCTCAATTTATTAAGAACTTTTATTAAGAATTAATTAGTCGATTTGTTGAACTGACTTTTTTCCATCTCCTAGATTTTATAAAGCCACTGTGTTTCGGACCCTAATTTAAAACATAATTTGTTTTAGGAAAGGGATAAAACGAGAAAATAATAACTTAATATGAACAACTAAATAAACCCGAGAGCACAAGACGTATAAAGTTGTAATAAAACGTATTAAAACGTTTTTTATACGTTTTGTGCCTACATGGAATGCGTATTTCCAGCTCGAATTCTTTTAAGTCTCAACAAAATTTTTATATTTACAAAGGGTTTGTGGAATAACGCGATTGCGGGAAAACCTCAAAATCATTTAAGGAGATGCAATGTAACATATGTTTACATCTACATCTTAATAAAGGGTTGCAAGGCCAAGCTTTTTAAATTAACGTTTTTGTTAATAAATTTAATGAAGTTTAAACTTTACCCTTTAATAAATATTCAAGTTTCAGCTTCAACTCTGAAATATATTGATAATGACACAAATCATTTGTATAATTAATAACATTTAATAGAGTCGCTGGGTAAAGTTTCAACTTTACCCAGCGACATAAATTTTTTTTCTCGCAAATTATTTTTTTTGACTGAACAATATCTATATTACTGATATTCCTTTATTCATCAAAAATAATGTTTATCTAAACTTATTATGTGCTTGTATGAAAATACAGTACTTTTATATGCATATATGTGCGTATAGTATTGTTATGTACAATTAAGTGGATAAAATATTATGTGTTATTTAAAAATTTTTCTTTCAGAATGAATAACACTATCAAAACACCATTATTTCCTGAACAAGAACTAGTTGATTGGATCAGACAGTTTACAAATCTTAGCTCTTCAGAATTAACTCTAAATGATATACAGAAACCTACGGTAATATATATGTGTGTGTGTGTGTGTGTGTGTGTGTGTGTGTGTATATATATATATATATATATATATATATATATATATATATATATATATATATATATATATATATATATATATATATATATATATATATATATATATATATATAGTTATATAAATTGTTAGTAGTAAGTGACCCAGGTCCTGGCCTCGGCTTAAAATGAGACTTTTTTCAATCCCGGCCCTGGCTAAACTATAAGATTTAGCAGAGGTTGATAGCTGCGGTTTAAAAAAAATTTGTAATACTTTATATATTAAAATTTTATGCTTACATTTACTATTTATTAAATACTGGCATAAATTTATATATTTTCAAACTCTAATTTACTTACAACAAGATTGCAAGCAACCACTATTAAGTTATGAGTTACTTTAAAATAGAGAATAAGTAAAAATACTATGATATGGTTAACAAAAGACTTAAAAAGTTGTAGGTTGTATATAAAAGAAAAACATGAAGATGGCTAATAGTTATAAGGTTCTTTTGATGTGCAAAGAAAAAACTGGATTAATAAAAGTTTTTGTAGCATGAAGGGATAGACACAGTAAAAGAATGCAACTTGTTAAATAAGAAACAAGCAAGAATAAGTTTTGGTTTATCATAATAGAGGTGATAGCTTGTTTGAGCATTGACCATATTTGTATTAGTAGAAAAAAGAAAGAAATGCAACCTTACAACAATGGGAGAGTGGCTCAAGCTTGGGAGATAAAGCAAGTCTATTACATTTACAATGTGCTTTGTTACTTTGTAACTTTATTACTTTGTAACTTTATTACTCTCAGACTTTGTCTGAGAGTAATAAAGTTTTTATTTATTAGAATAGAAATGCCAACAATATTGCAATATTTTTTTTGCAGTAAATAAATGAGTTTTGTTGTCTAACAAAAGTTTTCGATTTTAAATCCAGACTTACAATCCACAAGCCAATGCAAGCCTTGCAACCTGCAAGGCTGTTATAGAAAAAAGTGAAGACTTTTGTCAAGAGAAGAGTATTAAGTTGAGTTGTCAGGAATTAGAGCCACTGAAGATTTCATTTTTAAATGTACTATTGAGGTTTAGAGTTTGCAGTTAGGTATCTGATCAAAATTCAAATTATTAGAACCATTCAATAACGAGAAAGCGAGAAAGCAGTTGCCGCAACTAGCTCCTTGAATCTACTTTTCTTCTTTTTTAATGGTTTTTTAAAACTTTTTTGAAGTAACTTCTGAAGCTTCTCCAAGCTCATCACAGGCTCTACATTATCTTTAATATATTTTACTACATTATCTTTAATATATTTTTAAGCACAGCAAAATTGAATTTTTTTATTACAAAGTATTTTTCTTAAAACAAGAAGTACGTTTCTTGTTTTAAAAAATAAATATCCTACCCTGCAGTTTATTTTTAAAAACAAGAAATGTATTTGTTGTTTTGAGAAATAAATTTCTTAAACTATGGTCAATAGATTTAAGATTTTGCTGTGAGCTATGATCAGTTGTTAGCAACTTTAAAAGATTTTAAAAGTTTTGGAAATCATTGTATTCAAAAAGTCTGAGGGAGTCTCATCCGTAAACATTTTTTCAAACTATTACTTAGCATTTCAAAAATTAACCAGTAGTCTGGTGAAATATACAACTGAAGACCTAGTGTCTGGTCTTTATCAACAAAAATTGCTTTCAGAAGGATTTCAACTTTCATTCTATCTGTTTTCACATCTTTTAAGACATCCATTTGTTTTTGAATACAGAACTTTTTACCATTTTTTTATATTGTGATCTTTCTCAAAAAATGCAACAGTCAGCACCAAACACCTCTATGGTTTTACCATGATTTGAATTTCACCTCTACAACAAGCTCAATATACATCTATATAGTCTTGTTGATCCTAAAAATGTAAATTAAAAATATTACAATGTAGATAAAATAAGGTTTAAAGTGACACTTCAAAAAAAAATTTTGTACTGGGCATCAAGGAGAGAGAAATGTAGTCAGCTATTCTATTGATCTTTTTGAGTATTTTATTACTCAGAATTAAAACCTGATGTTAAAGAAATGCCACTTGAATTTCATGAAATTGAAGGAGTATGAAGTAGCTCCATAATTGTTAGTTTTTACCTAATGGTCTGATTTTTTTTCACAAGTTCACAATAATCTCTGCACTTCTTAAAAGTTTAGATAAAATAATTTTAAAATTAGAAACTATTACATTTTGTTTTTGCAAAAAGGTATTTTAAAGTGAAGTTTTATCTTTACTCAATATTTATACATTTGCAAAATACCCCCGAGAGTATAATAAACAGTATAAACGCGCCCACAACATTCCTTCTAACGCAACACATTAATAGTTTATATACAATACAATTATTTACACTAATTACACATACTATTTTTTAACCTTTTATGGTTTTATGATATAAATAGTTTTACCGGCTTAGCAGTTTTATTTACTGCTACGACTTTATGAAGCTCTCTGACATGATGGCAGGAGGTTATCAAGAATAATTGTCGGCCAGGAAACTTAGCTAATTTAGTACAAACCCCTTTTAAATAGCTTTAAGAAGACCCTTTAAGAAGAGTCATCTGCTCATCATGAGTCAATATATTTTGGTCGAAGATAAAGCAACAAAACTGAGTGTCTTGTGCCCGAAAGCTTGTAAACCAAGATCTTGTCTTGCAGGACTGCAGCTGAAAACAAAAAGATCTTAGATTTTTATTTATTTTTAAAAATAATCAATGAAGCTTATACATAAAAAGTTTAGTATAAATCAACAAAAGCTACACCAGGCATTTCTATGCTGACAATTGCTTCAGTTGAAATAGCATCATAAAAATACTTTCACAAGAGTTTACTGTAGGTCAATCATCACCCTGCACTAATTTATTGCGCAGGATGATGATTTATATGACAAGATAACTAATATGGTTATATTATAGTTTTAAAATAATTTCTTTAATAATTTATTAAAGAAACAACTATTTAAAAATATAATTCTTTGGTAATATGAACAAAGCAAGTAAATTGCTATGCACATCATCAAATAAATTTACTTTATACTACATCAGTAAAAACGATTTTTTTCCTTTTTACTTACTAAAATATCATTATGATTTTTTTTTTGTCACCTAATATCTTGGTGCCCAGGGCATGTATACCTTTTTTGCCCCTCCCTCTTGGCAGCACTAGGCATGGTTTGTTCTTAATTGATTAAAAAATTTTCTAAATCAAACACTAATATTCACTAAATAAAATTATGAATAAATTTATGAAACAATATATTTTATCTTACAAAAAATAAGTATATAAATTTTTAAACAATTATTCTTATAAATTTATATATTTTATATTCTATCTAAGGAAAATACAGTAGAATCCTGTTAACTCGAACTCTGAAGTCAAGTCAGACTTTTTGAAAATGTCAGACTTATTGAGATTTCGAGACTTATCGAATGTTCTTCGATATATAAATATTATGTACATATATACAGAACATTATAATCTCTTGTGAAGTGTATTTTTCTTGTATATATAGTGTATACTATAAACAAAAAAAAGTCAGAAATTGATGTTTGTTTCAGTGATTCGCACAATTCTTTTTCAAACAACTTTGAAGCATTTAAAGCCACTCTTCCAATATCACCACTCTGAGTAAACATTGAAAAATTAACAAGGGCATCAATTGCTTTACAAACTTTTTAAGTCGTTGGCATTGTCACTGTTTCATCAGATGTTTTATTTCCTTCTTCTTCATGCATCTACCTCAATGATATTGAGGTAGATTCAAGATTTTTTTATTTTATTTGTATTCACTCCCAACAAGGCTGCAAACAACCACTATTAAGTTGAGAGTTACTAGGAAAAAAAAAGAACAGAGTTATAGAGCAAGGAAACGGTTGACAGAAGACTTGAAAAGTTGAAGGTTGTATGAGTCAGGAAAACATGAAGATGGTAGAGAGTTCCAAAGGATTGAAGTGCGGGGAAAAAAACTAAAAGTTTTTAGAGCATGCAGGGGCAGATAAAGTAAACGAATGAAACTTAGCTGAATGACGAGTAAAATGAGAATGAATTTTAGTTGATGGAACTAGAGATGATAACTCCTTTGAGCAGTGACCATGATAGTATTTGTAGAAAAGAGAAAGAGATGCAACTTTACGACGATGGGAAAGAGGCTCAAGCTTAGCAGATAGTCCAGGTCCAACAACATTTACAATGCGTTTTTGGACCTTGTCAAGAAGAGAAAGTGAATCGTTAGAAGAACCAGCCCAAATATGACAACAGTATTTCATACAGGGACAAATAAGAGATTTGTAGAGGTAGAGAATGGAATCAGAAGTAAAGAAATGGCGAGCATGATAAAGAGAAGCAACCTTAGCAGAAGCTAATTTAGCAATCGATTGTATATATGGTTTCCATGAAAGGTCAGTAGTAAGCGATAATCCAAGAAGATGTAAAGAGGAGGACTCAGTAAGAGGATTGCCATTCATTAATATAGGAATGTTGACCATATTACGGTAGTTGTTTGCAGTAAACAACTGGGTTTTGTTAGAAAAAAGTTTAGTATTAATCAAAAAATACCTGATATTGTTTTACAATATCAGGTATTTTATCAAAACAATACATTTCTTCTTTTCCATTTATCTAGCCATCCATTGGATGCTTGAAAGTTGTCACAACCGAGTTCTTTGTAAAATGCAAAGCTTGGACTTTGAAAATGGTTCCAGACACAAGAATGTTTTGGTGTTGGGTGTTTAAAAGCCACATATAACATCCTTTATCCAAATCCTCATTTAGGGAGACACACATCCGCACTCTTTTTGCAGAAGTTTTATTTATTTAGACTTCTGAACATCTTGTGTTTTTTCTTTCGACCGTCCAAACAATGTTTGCTTTAGAATGGCATGTTTCTTTGATATAGATTCAGATGATTCTTCTTTGTCAAGTTCTTTAAGTATTTAGTATTTTTCTGTTATAGTTCTACTTGAT